CATCAAGTATTTGCGCACTATATTGCGTTGGTGCCCGCTGCATACACTCAAAGGAGCCCATTGCTCAGCTGCTGATGTTAAACAGCGCAGTGCACGAACCCCACAAGAACAAGTGGTCGTTGCTCCCACCTCGTCTTCGCTGAGGCCCATCATGAACACCAGGTAGGTCTTGATCGCATCGAATACACTGCCAGGGGGCGGGGCGGGGTGTACCGAAATTTAGTATGAGACTTAGACGAGACTTGGCAACATTTAAACTTAACGTGCCGCGGATGCACGAGGCCTGTTTGTTTTGATGGCAAGTTTTGGTGTGTGTGCTGTAGGGGTAAGAAGTGCGAAGCCAATCTGCGTGGCAATCAGTCAACCCGCGGGTTGTCCAACCGCTACAGAGCCGTTTTAATTGGGAGGGATGCAACAAATTTCGTCACAACAGCACACCGTAGAAAATGGCCACAACGCCGTGGCAGCTCGTACCGCGGTCGTTTAGCAGGCCTGGAGATCGCAATCTTCCCTCGCCTCGAGACACATCTTTCCCGCCACAGCAAACACAAATTGCCACGCACTTCAACGGTCTTAAATCACGTGCAACACACGCCCGCTCGGGACCCAACGCTCAGCCACGCTCGCACCTCGTGTCGGTCAGGAACTCCAGCAGCGTGGTTCGCGTTAAGAGCTCCGCCACGCCGCTGCAAGCAACAACCCATGGAAGACGAAGCCAAGGCGTTCGTTTCAGTGGCATTGAGGATGCAACGTATCATCTATCAACTTGCAAGTGAAGAGGGAGCTACATGGACGAATTCTTTCTAACGCAGCTCTTCCTTTGGCAACATCTTGTGGCCACTTTGTCGGGAAAGGACCCCGAGCGGGCTCGACCATGGCATGGTACTCCGTACGCCACACTCCCCAAGCCGGTAGACTCCACGCACTGCAATGCTTTGTAGACTTCAGTTGGAGATGGTGGAAAAGACATTCGGCGGTCTATAGTCTAGCCCCTGTCACGCACCTGGGAAGGTACTCGAGCGCTCCCCGTTGTCGAACGCTGTAGCACATGCCGCAAACACCTTTGGAGACGATGGTGCCAGTCACACAAATTGGGGGGGGCGAAGCCGACCCGCGTAGAGGTCCAACGTGTCGTGAGCGCTTCTCACAGGCCTCAGGCAACATACAAACCCACCCAACTAAATAACGAAATTAGGCGGCATCTACGTTAAATTTATCTCCGAAAATGTGTTTGGCTGGTATCGAAAAAGGCGGAGGGATGACACCGGGTGCGATCGCATTTTTGAATGTTGATATTTTTCCTCGATTTTTTTTCGCACCCCGGTGCCATCTTTCCGACCCGGGTGCGGGGAAATACGGAAATACAACCAAGCCGTTTCGTTTAGCCGGTGCGGAAGAAATACTGCATGTATGAATAATTTTGTTTACCTTTTTGATGGCACCCCGGTGCAATCTCTCCGACCGGTGCGATGCCCAATGAAATACGCACACGGGCCTACTGGTGCTCGGCGGTGTTGTATGCACGCACCCCGGTGCCATCTCTCCGCCTCTTGTTGCATCTTTAGCAGAAGTGTGCGGTGTAGTTACCGATGTTGCTGGCTGGGAGCCCGCCGGTACAGCAACGTAAGCTAGCACATAGCAGCTTCCCATGCAGCAAGTGGTCATGGATTTGAATACGACTTTGGATTAGATGTCACAAGGACGAAAAATGATGCGGTTTCCAGCTGGGGCGGTGCCGGTGCACATGGTACCAGTATGTCTACCTCTACGAGTACCAGTACGTACCCAGCAGGACAACATACTTCGTTGTGTATGGTGGGTGGGGCAAGTTGCGGCTTGTTGTTGGGTGCTTGGTTGAGTGTATGGTTTGCAACGTTCATACCGACTAAATCAAAACAACAGACACCCGCATGAACTACTACCGCACATCGACACATGAAGGGGTGGCGCTCCGCTAATACAATACCTTGCCACATGAAAAGGGACCATCATGTACCTCTTTGCGGCCACTCAGGAAGAGCTCAATCTTGGTTTCAGGGGTTGGTGAGATCGCACCCGGGGCGATCTCACCGACACCGGTGCGGAAATTGAACAAAATTATGACGTTCTTGCTTTCCTTTGCGCACCCCAGGGGCATCTCCCCTACCGGTGCCATCCCCCCGACCGGTGTTACCTCCCCGCCTTTTCGGTACTTTTGAATTCATCTCCACAACGTGCAAGGCTGGTATGCTTCTCACAGCCGCAATGACATTCGAGGCGTGAGGGATCGGAGACGATCGATAGGAAAACTGGTTTGACACGGAGTACTCGTGAGCCGAAACTTCATGTAAAATGAAGCCCTCCAAAGCGCAAGGACTGTAATGGTTCCCGACAGATTTAAATCACCCCTTGAGTGAACAATTCCTGCTTAGCCCGGCTGCTGTGCTTTAAGTACAATTACAAGCCCACCTCTCCTTTTCCACGCAAGTAAAACCCCGCCACCACCAAAACCCATCCAGCAGTTCCGTGCACCCGCAACTCGAAGCGTCTCGCGTAGCTTACCTATCACGATCACTGCGAGGAAGACCAGAGCTGACCCCGAGAACACCGACACCACTAAGCACATCCCTCCGGAGGCAACTGCAAGACTTGAAAACTGAAGGCAGGCGAGAAGCGGCCGGGGGGGGGGGGGGGGGGGGGGGGGGAGGGGGCATGTGCGCGTGCAACACATGGTGAAAGGGGTAGTTAATGCCATTGCAAGCGTGTTCAGCGAGTCCCTGAATATCACCCCGCGAGGCACAGAAGACACTTCAACGTTACAGCTGTACATGTCCCCACAACAAGGGCCAAAGGAGAGCACGGACTCTGTTGTTATAGGAGTCTACACAGGACGGAGCGCCTTTCGAGACACCCCCTTCGTAGTTACATTTTGCTATTGCTGTGGTTCTTTGTCCCTGGGGATGAGGCTGGCGTACTTCTATTTTTCGATCAACATTGGACACAAAGCAAGGAAAAGCTTAACGCAACGCGGCTGCTTCCTGTAAGCAGAATGGACTCAGAAAGACTTGAAGCCCGTCTGCGCACGGACTCCGAATTGTCCAAGACTTGCGATACTTGAGGGCAAAGCATGTTCACACACAAGGGCCGGGTTGTTGTTGTTGTTGTTGCTATTGTTGTTGTCTTCACATTAAAAACCGTTCCGATCTCTCTCTACCCTGTACCTTCGTATGTCCGTACTGATCCAACACTCGACGCGGTCGATTCCCGTGGTCGCAAAAGGTACACTAAAATAAAATGGCCCCGAGGGGTCCGTAAGTCAATAGAAATCAACGACAGATATTTTGGAGTCCTCCACTCTCTCTGCGCGCTATGCGATGTAACAACTGAGACTAGAAGTCACCATCATGGGCCGCAGAGAATGAGCTACACCCCCTTGGTTCAATCTTGGTACTTCACAACGCAAGCAGAGACAAGGCCATCTGGCACAGAAAAAGAAAGAAACAGAGACAGAAAAAAAAGAAGGAAACAGTGAGGAAAAACGAAATGAAATAAAACGAGCGAAGACAAAAGGAACCAGGCCGAAAATGACAAGAAATAAGAGACAGAAAAAGGCACACGGTGGAGAGACCACTAGCGACAAGCAAACACGCAAACATGGCCACCAACCAGCGATACATTGTAATGGTACGTCGTCACTAGTGGGGGGTTGGTGCAATGGTGCAGCGTTGGGGGGGGGGAGATTGGCTAAAAGAAATCCAATCAGGCACGTATCGCGCCACTCGGTCCGTCTCTTCTCGTTTGCTTTCTTTCCTCGCCGTCTCGTCCGTCTCCTGCCGCCCTCCCGCCCCATTGGTTGGTGGCTTGTGGTTTCGTTTGAGCGCCCGTTGTCGGCTGGCCTCTTCTTCCTTCTCGTGCCAGGAGGTCATGAACCTCTCAGCTCCCTGCAGCACCGCCGCAGCATGCCAGGGTACTCCGCCCTCTACCTTCGCGGCTTCCGTCCACTTTAACGTCGGTGGCGTGTCTTTCGGTACCGGGATTCCGCNATTCGGTGCCGTGTCTTTTGTACGCTATTGCTAAATTTATCAACCAAAGACCGAAGCAAAAAAGTAGTGATCTTCGGTACATACGCCAGAACTTGCGTGGCTCTCTCGATCTTGCGTGTACAACACCTTCAAGTCGACACTCTCCGCGCCGAACATGAACCGACATCCTGAAACACTTGTTGCAAGGATGCCTACACAGCAGTACCTGCATCACAGTCGCGGGTTCAGTCATGAAACGGACGCCGTTGGAGTAAGCGTTGACAATCCCCAGGGACAACCCCTGCTGGCGAGACTCGGCGGCAGATGCATGGCGCCTGCACTTAGGTCGGCGTATCCTGCTCATTCTCCTGCCCCCCCTCTCGCCGGCTGGTGCTGCAGTGCTGGCAGAGGTGGAGGCTGGCGACGCTTGTTCGGGTGTTGGAGGCAAGGTGGATGCCTGCCTGGCAAGAGTGGAGAAGGTTCATCCGCTGCTGTGTGTAAGGGATCAGGGGTAATTCTCAACCAAACACGTTGTGGTTGAGAAATACCAACGGCGAGGAGGAAACTAGCGACTCTCTAGCCGGCACTGCAGCAGTACTGGCGCTGTAGGCATATCACATCGTCTCACACTACATGTGAATACAAGTCCCTTTTGCCTGATCTTCAACAGATTGGCTCCCTGTCTGCACAACAGTCTTTTCCAACTCAAAAAAAAAAGAGAAAAATTACCATCCGTTGCTCACCTCTGATGCCTCCCTTGGCTCTTCATCAAGCCGTAAGGATACGGATTCCGTCTTCCTGTCTGAGGCCATTCAAAGCACCGCCTGGATCCAGCGTAGAGAAGATCCCCGCTGCGCGGTACACTGCAGGCAGCGTGTAGTGCTCTCTCCAACTGTCTTCCTCAAGGGGATACACAGATAGAAATCAGGGGGGTGTTGAACATGTCCGCGTACACACAATTGACAACAACTTTCCTTCCAGACACATGCATACAACAACTTCCTGCCGGCTATGCAACAAGTAGTGACTCCTGACTAAAGGCCAGGAACGAACGGTGGATCGACAGGAGGGGAATCGTCCCACACTCGCTGGGCGCTCCCATCGCACGCGGTGAAAGTCTGCCCGACACACCGACACGGTCTGCTCAGCGGGAGGGCGGCACGGCTCATCAACGGGAGAGATACAGCAAAAGCCTCTCCGTCTCTCCGGAAAGGGTCTGTTCGTTGTTGTGCACTGCAGCTGCTGTTTGAGGAGGACCCTTCCAGCTTCACGCATCGGTGGAACGGCGCGGGGTGGGATTTCGCTTTGCCAAAGGCATCATCATCACGGTCGTCGTTGCAACGGCTCTCTCTGCCCTGGCTCCGCTCCGTCTCTCTCGCTCTCAGCGCCATCACCGCGCGAGCGTCGTCTTTGATCCTCAGAATAGGAGAACAGGATTTTTCCTCAAAGAGGGTGGAAGAGAACATCTTAACGATTTTGCAGTCGTCCCCCGTACAGGGGCCGGCGACGCAATTTAGGAGCCATGGTGGTGGGGTGTCAGCCCCTGGCGGGGGAATCGATGAGGTGGCTCAAGCACACCGTGTCTGGGCTCGCGAATCCTCATGACGCCGCTGCCAAGAATCGTCTTGCCAAGGTGAGGCGGACGACCGCCTTTTTGTGATCGGAAGTAGAGAGAAGAGAGTGCGGTGCGACAGAGGTTACTATTCCGTCTTGGGCAAAAGCGGTTTGGTTTCGTTTGCGCCAGTGCTGCGTGTGTGAGATACCCTCTGGTAGGCGTAGGTATCACGGCTGTACCTTGCAGGCAGAACAGGTGTCGACACATTATGTTAAATTCCCTCTCGACACATCTTCTTGCCAAGATGGTATGCATCTTGCGTGTTTGCGAAAGCCGCTCACCGAACGTACGCTGACACAAAAAAGACACGCAATCTACGATGATTTTTTTCGATTTGCTGATTTCCTGTGTGTTTGTTGTTCGGCGTCTGCTGCCCCTAACGTTCTCTCTCTCCCGTTTTTCGTGTGGTGTCATACCACAATCAGATGGAAAAGTATGTGCAGCAGGGGGGGGATGTGAACAAGCCCAACAAGCTCGGGGATACGCCTCTGCATGAGGTAGGATGTGGTTTGGGTCAGAGGTTTGCGGGGGGCGTGCAAAGGGGCGGGTGAGGAACACAGAATCTACGTTTTTGTGGGGAGTTGATGACGATGGCCAAAAAACCCGCCCACATTTACACTTTATTAGGTGTTGCGCATCGATGCAGCCGTCGTTGTTGTTGACTTTGGCTTGGTAGAGCCATTGGTGGAGATGGTGCGTCGCACACTACATCAGCACTACTGTACTGCTGTGTCGGACATCATCCACCGGCCTATATTTTTCTACTACTTCGACGTGTATGTTTTCCTCTATTTCAGCCAAACCGCCGTTTGGGAGCTTCGGTGATGCTGGAATACACGTGTGCATACATATGGCATCCTCTGCTGGCTCATGTGCTATCCGCAGAACAATGATATCAAATTCCCACCGTCTCCCTTCCCTGCTGATATCCATGTGTCACAAGGTGCGATCAAGTTTGTGTGTGCATCATGATTCTTGCTTGATGCGAGACCTGCGGGGTCTAGCCGTCGTCTGCCGAGCTCGCCCTGCGCTGTCAGAACGGTTTTGCATGTGTTTGTTCATATTCCGAGGTGATTTTTTGCAGTTTTGCGGTGCTGTCCGGTTACATCTCTACCTGTCGTCCCTTTTCTGTCGATTATATCGCGGTGACGGTTTTGTTATTGAAGGCCTGCGCGTACATACGCGACAACGGGGACTCGAGCAAAGGCAAACGGCGCAAGGGCAAGGGGGTGGGAAAGGATCGACGCAAGGTTGGGAAGAAGCTTACCCGCCGCCAAATGGGCGAGGGCGGCCCTCTCGAGGTACATTTGCATACGATATGCACACAGAAACATTTTTTTTGATAGTTTTTTTTTTATTATTTACTTCATTGATTATCAGCCTGGATTGGAATTTTTTTTCGTCTTGTTCCAAAGGTCGCCAAATGGTGGACTTGAATCCTATTTTCCGGCACCTGCCGGAGTATTACATGTTTTGGTGAAGCCTGCTGTCGTGTACTGCTCGTGAGCGCGGGGTATCTTCACCTCCTGGCAAGACCTTTGCTTATTCGTGGCGTGCTATGAACACCAGGAAAATTACGCTCTTTGTTCCCGAAAATTCAGGCGCTATTTGCTGCTCCGAAATTCATTTGCTGCTGCACTCCTGCTGCTGCTGCTGCTGCTGCTGCCTCCATCCCCTTGCTATCAAGTTCTCGATACGGAACATTCAAAGTTGGTTGCGCTTGTTCTGTGATAGGTCAACGCAGTCCAGCTGTTTGCGCATACACAGAAGTACCATTGAAGTATTTAGTAAATCGAACTGTCCATGTCAGTGTTGTGTCCTGAAGCAGTATTGGGAAACTCGGACAGAACATTCGCAAGTTATGTCGAAGGACTAAAATACATGCGACTACCCACACCCGAGGCAGCAATGGTGCATTAAGCCTGGCCGCAGTCGCCTGCCGAATCCTGGACAGGCTATTATGGTCATTGTCGTTTGTAGGAGACTCTTCTTCGTGCTGACATGTTCGGCTGAGATACGAGGTCGCATGGCTGGACGCTAGCAACAGACATGGGTGTAGCATTTCCCACCACGAAACAATGTCTACGCCACGACAGTTGTAAATGTAGATATCCCTCGCCTTTGCCAGCAGTACAGGCGTCGGACTTTCTGCGCCTGCGTTGTGCACAAGCATGAAACGACTAAATAATGGTAGTGGAAAGCCTGGGGAGATTTTCTCCGAGAAATTTCGGTTTTGAAGCGAAAATCGTAACACACGCCAAGTCAGCGATCGTGTCCATGTCGCCTCTGCTGCCGTCATACCACCTCCTGTACAGCGTGTCACAGTAAGGCGTGAAAACGTTGTGCTTGTATAAATTCCACCATGTCGCGGGCGGGGTTACTTTGTTGGGAGGCACCAATCGAGCTCTTGAACGAGCATCCTGTCCCGTAACAGCGTGGTCTCGCACACGTGGTGGTTTCTTGGCGGCGAGAAAGAGGTTTGGCCAATCAAATATTGCTGCTTAGGGGGTTCTCCCGCACCCGATGCATTTCACACCCGGAGAAGCAACTTGTTAAAAAGAATACATCATGCCGCGCGGGAGCTTTGCGCCCTCATTCGGGCTGATAGTTGGGAAGAAATACCCCTTTCCTACATACGCATACAACTAGCGCTCGTCGCTGGAGTGTTCCGCATGAGATCGGTTATCACAACCTTGGAGCTGTGACACCTTGCTGTTTTTGTTTCTCCTTCCGGGTTGGCAAAACCAAAACAACTCGTCAGATGCTGGAGCTGCTTCTCCGGGCTGGCTCAAACATCAATGCGCAGAACATCGTGGGGGATGCGCCGTTGCACAAAGCCGCTCTGAACGGGAGGGCCCTATCGGCGGACTATCTCATCCGTGCGGGGGCCAACGTTAACATCAGGAACGAGTTCGCTCAGACTCCGCTGCACGCCGCGTGCGTTAGCGGGAACATCGAGGTGGTGCAGAGGCTAGTGCAAGGCGGGGCAGATACCGGTGCCCAGGACGCGGCTGAGGTGAGGAAGGACCTTAGGGGGGGAGCGTGGTGGCGTTGATGTCATGTACTTGACAACACCACACCACACGACATGGCTATGTGCAGAGGCTGTTCGCCGGGAGAATGACATCTGTACTTCTCCGTACGTGCCGCTTCGTCGCCAGCGCCGTCCTGATGATCGTTTCGTAGAGCAGACGCTTGGGATTTTATGCGTTGGACTCCACTCGCCGCCCTCTCCAGCTCAGCAAAGTGGGCATCTTGCAAGCACATGCCAACATGGATTGTGGAACACCGTCCGTGAAGCCTGTTCACGATTTCTCGGCGGGAAGATCGCATGGATGGGTTTTTTGTGGAGGCTCACGTACTTTTGTCCGCCCATAACCTAGGACGTCTGGCGGCGACCGCATTCCGGTTGGGGAAGCGATAGGCTTCCGATTAGCTTGCGATAAAAGCTGATTCAAGTGTATCCCCTCGTCTCCTCTGCTATTCGATTCCCCCGTTATAGAAAGTAACCCGTCCCACTCCTGCACAGGTGCTCCCTCAAGGTAGTTTCTTTCCTCCCATGCGGTGGTGTGGGCACTCGATGTTCACCGCTCGCCTCGCGGGCGATGTGAACAGTATGTTCATCATTCTCCTATGTTGTTCCCCTTGGTTCCCTTTTGCTTTTTTCTTCTTTTCACGGTTCAGGACACTCCCTTTCACGAGGCGTGTCGCCACCAGTACAAGGGCATCGCGGTGAGTGTGTTATGTATTACCGCACCGCGGGGCAATCCCCGCCGGAGCTTGTCCTATTGTGTTGTGAAGCACCACCCGCCTGTTTTGTTGGTCAAGGACACCCCAAGTAGTCTTGCTCGTCGTTGAACGTGGCGCTCAGGTCTTGTTAGTGTCTATCCCACACAACAATGGACCGTAGTTTTTGCGATCGAAGGCTCGGCCGAGACTACATGTAGGTTTCACGTACCTCTGCGGTGTCCCAGCCTCCAGTTCATCCGCAGTATTCAAACCCCTGTTTTCGATTGTGGGTGGATGTGCGATGCGCGGTCAGATCTACTTGATGGGGTTGGTGAACAACCCGGAGACAAGCCAGGAGCTGAAGCTCTGGGAAGGGTTGGATCCTTCCTGGGAGAAGATGCTCCGGTAAGCCCCGTGCTTGGGCCTCTTGTGTGTGCTGTGCGTTCGAAGCCAACAGAATTTCAGGCGAAGAGTTTCAACGCAACGCATTCACCGATCACGGCGAAGTCCTGAGTCTTGAGAATGGAAATCGCTGCTGTTTTTGTCTCTGCATGACTTTGTGGGGCCACCGGTGCCACCCTGCTGTCTTCATGCTAGGCCTTCCAACCGCACTCCACTCCTTGCTCCCTCCTTCAACAAGAAGGAAAATCACTGCTGTTTTACCTCTGCATGATTTTGGGAGGCCACCAGTACCATCCTGCTTTTTACGGCTGTCTTCATGCTAGGCTTTCCAACCGCACGCACCTCCTCCGTCCCTCCCCCGACAGGTCTCGTGCGCAGGCCCGCGTTGAGGACGGTACGGAAGAAGACGTAGGCAGGCCGCGGGATATGAGCACGGCGGCTGCTGCGGCCGGCCTCAGCTCCGTCCGGCTGGGCGTAACCACGCCTTCGACGACCCACAACTCCCTCATGTCTTCCGAGTCGGCGATGGGTATTGGGGTGTCCAACCGTACGCCAGCCCGGCGGGACGTGTTTTCGACCTCGGGCAACAGGGATCGGGGCGGCGGGGGGGGGGATACCGCGGCGTCTACCCGGGAAAGGAAGATGATGATGCCTCCTCGGGGGCAGGCAGCAAGCACTAAGGGGTCTACCAAGGAGCGGAAAATGATGTCTGCGCAAAGCGCGGCGCAGGTTCAGCCTGGTGTGCATCATCAGCGGACAACGACGCGAAATCGCGGCTCGGGTAGCGCTTCGCCGGCAGCAGGCGCCGGGATGAGTTCGTCGGACGGCGCCCGTGTCGACGGGTAGGCGCTCGATAAGCGAGCGACGAATTGTTGTCTCCTAATCATGCTTCTCTTTTTGCGTTTGTGTTATTTGTTATTTGTTATGTGTTATTTGGGCCCCTTGGGTGTTGCACATGCGGAAGAAACCGTCGATTTTGCATCCAGGTCTTGACGTGAGTCAGCGTTCCGTGCGTGGTGTTGCATCACGCTGCAGGTTTTGGATGTGAGGTGAACATGTGCGGCGGGATGGCCGGAATCGCGTTGCCATGAACGAACGCCCCGCCTCCTACGTCCCGCCGCGTTTTTAAAGACTCTTTTCTTCGATAGAGATGGATTTTGTTGGGTCATACTGATGAAATTAAACAAAAACATCCATGGTCCCCATTGGATTAAATTCTTCGCTATTTTTGATGGACGTGGGCCATGCAGCCGTGGTTATATGGAAACATTTCTGCCTCTTATGCAGCCATAACGCAGAGGCATTTGAATATCCCGACAACGTCATTTCCTCCCACCGTTTGCCGATGTACATCCTTGATCCTTGCGTGCAGCAGTACTCGTAGTGGGAGCCGGCCGAGTTCTGCCATGAGACGGAGGCGTCGCAGCAGGGAGCGCGATGAACCCCCTGGGGAGACATCGCCCCGCGTGTTTTCGAATGGTGCCGCTGACGTACTCGCCTGGCAGGTGCGTGGAACGCAGACACATTTTTTTTTTAATACATGACAATATCCACAACTATCATAGGTACGGGTCTGGGATTGGTACCATTTCTATCCATAGATATGGGTTTAGGATTGGTTATGATATCACATGAAGTCCATCTCTTTCCATGGAATAGACTTTATGGTATTGGCAATGAATTCATAGCGTGAGCTTGTTGTCTCACATGAGCGTGGGGAGGCCGGCGGCGGGAGTATCAGTTGGGAATGATGCGACGGAGGGTGCGTCTTGTTGGATGGTGGATGGTGGTGGTGGACGTGTTCGTGGCGTGCTTAGTTTTCTCTCAACTCTCTCAACGGATGTTTATTCTTTACGCATTTTGCGTCGCCCACCCTTGTGTGCTTTTTCGGGGAATGCCCACCAGGCGACCAAGGTCAAAAGCGCCAAGCAGGGGAGATTGATTGAGAAGGCTAGGGAGGTGAGAAATGGCTTTGTTAGACAGGATGATGTCTGCCCTTGGCTGACCGGGTAGTTGACCACCGCGTATCACGAGCTTGGTGTGAACACGTCTGCGTCTTTACATTCCGTGCGAGCACTGCCTTTCTGTCCGCCGGTCTAGAAAACACGCGCGCGCCATCAAGCTCGCGAGCGCTACATACTTTTTGCTAGCACGACGGGGTCGATTCTTGCGCTGGCGCACCTTACCTGGCATCCGAAAACGGTATTCTGTGTGTTTGATTGCACCGTCGCTCACGCCAGGCGCTTCGCGAGACGGAATACGAGGCGGAACTGGCCAGGTCCAGGTCCATGACCTCCCTAGGCGACGACGAGGCGTCGATCGACACCTGTAATACCGCCGATTCCCCGACAACTGTCGGCAGCCACAGCAGCCGCCCGGGAGAACGACGCCAGCGCAGAGCGATCAGCCCGGCGGCTAAGCCGGCCGAGACACTGGAGGTCTTTGACGTGGACGCTGATGGCAATCCTCAGTCGAGAAGGGTTTACGCTAACGCTAACGCTAACGCTGCGGCTGATCTGTCTGACGCGGAGTCCCAGCCAAGCCGCGAGTCGAGAAGGGTGAAGCCTGTCGCGACCAACGGGACGGGGGGCACGGCGGCGGGGGCGGCGGCGGCGGTAGCAGATGCTACTGCGGATGACTCGAGAGGAAGGGCGGTGTCCCCCGTCATGCCGACGCCCCCGCGTGCAGAAGGCAGGGACGACGTTGACGGACACGCGGTAAGTGGAGAACGGGTGTCGCGAAGCGCGCGCTACTTCGGCGTGTTGGGAGCTCCTACGATACTGTAGGCAACCACAAAAGTGCAGTGTTTTCGGGCATGGTCTGTGCGCCCTTGAAAAACTTTCGAGAGCCGCTCTCGGGAATCAAACGGTGATACCCATAACTTCGTTCATTAGGCTACACCTGAAGGCCTAACTCTTCAGTTCCACCTTTCGTACCTGCTATGTGCGCTCACCTCGCTGTTTCCCAAGCCATCCTGACCCCCCGCTTCATAGTGTCGCCCCCCTGACCTTTTCGCTGCTGCTGCACGATGCTGACGTACGCCTGCCAAACACCAAACAGCCAAGGCGTGAAAGCGGCCGCCGCCAGTCGGCCCGCCTGGCTAAGGGCAAAGTCGTGAGCGTCCGATCCCCGGTGGCTAGGGTATCCCGCCGGCCCTCCGGGTTCCCCAAGGCGGACGACGTAGACGGCAGCAGCCGGAGATCGTCGCGGCGCGGCAGCAGCTCCCAGTCTGCTGCTACGTCGTCGTCAGCTGCTGGCTCGGGCGAGGGTGGTGGGGACGCCGGCGGTTCCAGGAGGTCTAGCGGCGGCTCGCGCTCGTCGAGGGGCCCCGGCGACCACGGACAAAGCGACAACAAGCACGGAGGGGGGGATTCTCGGAGCGCGACGGCGGCGGCGGCGCGGCCACGGCGCTTCGAGGAGGAGGGGGTACGCGCCGAGAACGGTGAGGGGGGGGGCGGGAGGTCGCCGTCCGCGCGGCGCGAGAGGCACCGCAAGAGGGGCGAAGACTCGCCGGAGGTGGATGAGCGTTCTTGTGGCGGCGGCGGCGGCGGCGGCGGCAGCAGCAGCAGAAAGTCCCGATCGTCACGAGGGGAGGGCGGGGAGTCTTCGAGCAGGAAGAGCGTCGGCGGCGGCAGCGGTAGCAGCAGCAGGAGGAGGCGCGACCCGAAGGTGACGTCGTCATCGTCGTCATCTCGTCGCAGTCAACGGGAGGGCTCAGACGGGCACGCATCGACCGCCGTGCCCACCACGCAGGCGCCGGCGCCGGCAAGCAGTAGCCCGGCGCACTCTCAGGCGACTACTGCTGCTGCTGTTGCTGTCACGAGCGTCCCGAAGGCATCTCACGAGTCGCGCAGTCACTCCGGGGCCAGGGAAGGGAGGGCGTCGTCGTCGAGAGCGAAGGAGGGAAGAGGATCGTCATCGAGGACGAACGAAGGCAGGGAGAGGAGAACGCCTGCCATCTCCAGCCCGGGGGGACGGTTGTATGCAACAGCGCCCAGGCAGCGCCCGAGTAGCCCGAACCTGTGCCCACCCACCTGGTGAGTTGTTTTCTTCGCAACAAGGCAAGCACTGAAGTGGTCGTCCAGGAGGGGAGTAACGCAGCGTTTCCACAGCCTCAAGCGCGTCGAGATTTCCGGCCCATGTGTGCAAGCGGTGCTTGGGTTGTGACCACAGAACGTGCCCTTGATGGCGATATTTTTTGTTCTTATAGCTGTTATGATCGAAACCTTTTGTTCAAGTTTGCAGGCTCGCTGGAAACCGATCTCATCATGTCATCTGTGCTATTCGAAGTGTTGTTACGGCCCGTCAAAGGCACACTGTTTGGCTATCAAAGCTTGTTTTTGTAGCTATGTTCATGCCAGTAGCACATCGACAGGTCCTTACAGCAGTACCCTGTATGTCGTCACGAGGCCCGGCTTTTGTTCGCTGCTTTACCTTGAGGTCGGATTTGCTGAATAGAACGTAAAGTCGGCGCAACCAGAGCCTGACTATCCTTGGCGTATGCCCCACCCAAAAGTTAAAGTTGTTCACCCTCAACCTCCTTTCGCCACTAGTGCCAGGCATGCCGTAGCGTGGCGACCCTTCATGTAATCCGCGAGGCATAACCCGGTGTACTTGTGCATTTCTCAAGCCTTTGTCCCGTGCGCGATTCAAATCTCTTTTGCTAATCGGTTGCAGGGCGTCCAACGTTCCGTCGTCGACTCTGGAAGACCCGTCGCGGAAGCGGGTGGTCGCTTCTGATTTTCCAGCCAGGTTCGCCAATCGCGCCTCTTCGTCCCCTCCCGTCTTCCTTCCACCCTCCCCACCTTGGAGCAGGGATGTCTGGACCGTCCGTTTCTTGCACGTGACGCACAGCCTCCGTTTAGCCCTCGAAGTCGCTCTTGGTTCTGAGTATTGGATTGTTCGAGCAATCGTTTGTGTCGGCTTCCGGGTTGTTGGCGTTCCGTTGCATGTAGCCGTAGCGTTGAGGCTTAAAGTTGTGTCTTGGCTTGACGGTGGCCGCTAACTTGTCCACGCGATGCGATGCACTCCCATTGTACGGCCCCGCACGCAGGCGAGTCGTCGGCCCTTACAACTCCAGCAAGCGGGGGCCTCCAGCTGGTGGTCGCCGCACCCGCTCGAGCGCCTCCCCGACACGCTCTTCGTCTCCCGGACGCCGTTCTGCTCTCCCGCCACCCGCTTCGCGCCCGGTCGAGAAGGAGATCGACCCCCAGGGAGAGGATGCCGAGCGTGAAGCCGCTGTCAGTGCCAGCTCTCACGCGAGCTCCTTCCCCACTGAGACGGTGGGTGACAGCGTAAGCCTCCCGGAAGCAGCGACGGTGGCTGGCGAGGCGAAACCCGCCGCTACCTTCAAAAGCGCTGTCCCGGAAGCGGTATCGGCGAGGAAGACTTGGGAGGCGAAACCCACCGCCGCCGCAAATTGTGTGGCGACTGCGGCGGCTGTAGAAGATGGTGTCGTGCAGGAATCGCCCGCTAGGAGCTCAGCTGCCAGCGCAGAGTCTGAAGGTCCTCCTCTGATTGGCGCGCTGTTGATGGAGAAGAAGGCGGCGACGGACGGCGACAGCACTGCTGCACGAGCGGACAAGGAAGAGGAGCTTCGCGAGGAACGGGAGGATCGCGCGCCGTGCACGACTTCGACGAAAAGCAACCCTAGGCGGTCCTTCACAGGTGAGGGTTGGGGGCTATGGCGGGGGTATGTATGTTAGGGTCTTGTACAAAAACGTTAATGTCGTGCTCTTTTTCTTGCAGGAGGTGGTGTTTGTTGGTCTCAACACGTGTCAAATGTTTTTGGAGGAGGTCGTGTTTGTTGACCTAACACGTATCGAATGTTATTGGCATGCGGCAATCTGCGAAACAATCATCGCCTAGCACCCTGACGACTCCCCTGGTTGTAACCGTTCACCCGTCCGCCCCGTCTCTTGGCGCAGCGATCGAAACATCCAAGTCCATTGTGTTCTCGGACTCGGACTCGGAGGTGGACAACGACAGTTCGACGAGAGCGTCGAACGAAAGCCCGAACCAAAGCCCGACCTCTGGCGGGGACGTCCAGCCCATGGCCGCGTTGTCGGCTGTGTCGACGGTGTTTGCGCGGCAGCGCAGCGGCGACAAGAAAGGGGAAACTGCGGTGCTCGGCAACAAACAAGCCGACAGCAGCAGCAGCGTCAGCGGCGCTGTTTCCGCCGAGGCGTTGGATTCCGACAGAAAGGCTGACGGTCCCGTCGCCTCCGTGTCGCGATCGGAGGAGGCAGCGTCTGGCGATCGAGGAGGAACGGCGACAACAGCGTCGAAGGAGGACAGGCAGGGCTTACCATCCTATCAAGACGCTTTGGCGGCGGGGACGGCTGCTGCTGCGGCGGCGGCGGTGCCTCGCCCGGCTGGGCCTGGCGCGGGCCCAGAAGCTGTCGACGACAGAGGAGCGGCACCGGCGGAGGTAGAAGGACGAGGTACGGTTGAGCCGAGCCCTGCACCGCAAAATTATTTGAGACCCTTGTCTTCATCGACCTTACCGAGCACGATGGCGGTTTTGGCGGGCGGCGGCGGCGGCGGCGGCGGCGGCGGCGGGAGGCCACGGTCGTCGGCGCTGGGAAGGCCGGGCATGCCGTCCGTGAAGGTGACGATGCCGATCGCGGGTGGCCGCGCCGCTTGGAACAAGTTTTTGGCCACCACCGCGCAGGGAGAGTCGGAGGAATCGGCTGCCGCGGCGGACGGCGACGGCGGGCGAGCGGAGAAAGAAGGCGGCGAAGGTTCTTCCGCGGAAGAAGCAGGAGTGGGAGCCAGCGGCCCCAAGGCGTCTAACGCCGTCGCTGCTGGTTCCGGGAACCACGCGGCAACGCTAGCCGCCAAGGGTCTGCGGGGGTTCACCAACCCAGCCCAGAGCCAGGAGGGGCCTAACAAGGGACCCGCCGGGGCGTTCTCAGGGAACTCCATGTGGCGTTTGGCCGGAGGGACGGCAGCGGAAACCGGTCGCGCACGGTCCGGGGTCGCCGCCAACGGTCACGGAGGCTACTCCAACCCTCTTGCGGCGATGCGAGCGGCAGGAAGCGGCGGCGGCGCGGAGACGAGCTCTGGGGGCGGGGGCGGGGGGGGCGGGGGGTCAAACCCTCTGGCGGGGCTGCGGGGAGCGGCGAGCATGGGCGGCGCCAGAGTCTCGAACCCGTTGGCGCGAAGCAGGGGGCCGAGAGCCGGCGGCAGTAGAGCGGGCGGGGTGGCGAACCCTATGCTCCGCAGCGGCGGCGGCGGCGATGTGGGCGGCCTCGCGAGAGGAACCGTCGGGGGGGTTCCGCTGTTTTCTTCTTCGGTTAGGACCACCGGCCGTACGGCACCGCCGCCGCCGCCACCCCGCGATGACGAGGGGTCGTTATCGCCCGGACCGGCCACGATGCCGCCGCTTTCGTCTTCTCCCACGGAGATGGGCGGGGCCCCCGCCATACCCGTCGCGATGTCCTGGGGTCCTTCTCCGTCCTCCGCGGACACGACCGCAGCTGCTGCTGGAGACGATGGTGATGCTACAGAGGCGGCGGCGTCCACAGGCGGCGGCGAGGGAAACGCGGCGATGAGACGAGGTGGGGGCTCAGAGCGGCCGCCTACCGAGTTCAGAGCGATCGGTAGCAACGGGTCGTGGCCTACGGATGGCGCGTTGGTTCCCCCGAGAAGGCGGGCGGCGGCCAGGGGGGCGCAGCCGCACAGCGTGACCGAACGAGACCCGGGCCAGGAGAAGGTTGGCGGCCTAGTGGTGAGTGCGACTGCTGTGTGTGAGGTGTCATGGTTCGTCGCGTTTGGCTGCTGTTTTATGAGTTTTCTTCCTTGAACCCCTTGGTTCACGGACGTGAGTGCGTACGAAATGGTGGGTAATGTTGCACTGGTACATGGTCTAGGTACCTTGATTAATGCTTATTTTTCAGGCGTGGGGTGGGGTGGGGTGGGGTGGGGTCGACCTTCTGTTCTCGTAATTTCTCGTCGAGGGCGGGTGGCGCATATGAGCTAGTATGAAGCTGTCCCTTGACCCATTTGTCTTCGTCCACATCACTTTGGAGGAATGCTTCGAAGAGTACCGAGAGGCCGCGTTGCATATAGTCCTGAACGATGTCCTGGGGAGCAACAAGTGCGTGAAGGTCGTTGCTATGCTATCTGAGCCGAGACAACACTTCACACATCTCTCAACCCCCCCCCCCCCCCCCCCCCCCCCCCCCCCCCCCCCCCCCCCCCCCCCCCCCCCCCCCCCCCCCCCCCCCCCCCCCCCCCCCCCCCCCCCCCCCCTCTTCTTTTTTGGTGTTTGGTCAACATCAGAAGGCCTTGCAACAACCGGACGCGTCGCGGTTACGGCTGTTGCTTCAGAACACGCACAACCCCGACCTATCGGCCTCGGGCTCGAGTCTGTCAAACCTCGGGGAGAAGCGGCTTGTGCAACTGCGCCGCGCGAAGTACTCCCCGCGACCCGCAGCCCCCGGCCTGCTGGACCCGAAGGAAACGGAAGTCGACGCGTGAGAGAGAAGTCGAGCTGCTGCTTGACTTTTGGCCCTTGGCGACGCACTCGTAGTGAGGCATTCGGAGGTAGGGGTAACGTCTGAGGCTCAAGTTTGGTTGTTTTTATTTGAGTCCCCTAGAGAAAAGTGGGCTTTGAAGTGGGAGTGAGCCCACTAGCTCCATCGCGAAGATGGGACGGATGTTATGTGTACCTATTGCGGGTTGCTTTTTGAAGGGAAAAGGTGGGAGGTTGCTCTGTAGAATTGGGAGTAGAGTGGGGGTCGGCGAGAACAGAAGCGTGTCCTTGCGGTTTAGCGGCACGCGGAGGAGAGAAGGGGTTGGAAGGCTTTTGTGTGTGTGTGCTGTGCGTGTGTTTTTATTATTAGCATCGACCGCGCTAACCGGCTGACCAATGAAAAGACGTCAGTCTTAGTGCGATTGAAAACACAAAACACTTCTATCTACCATGAACTGGCTGTGCGTGTGTGTGTGTGTTCACGTCTTATGTGCGCCCGCTCCGCCGTTCTACCCTCTCGTAGATTTTTGTTCTCGTCTCGCGGAGCGGTGTCTTGCACCCGAGCCGTGTAAGCCCAGAGCCCGAACGAACGGCCGGTTTGTGTCGGCCGTCGTTCGTCTAGCCCATGATATTCTGAGTGTTGTACGAAGGTCGCGGATTGGCAGAGGGTGGTACCTGCAAGTGGTAAAACGGTTGCTTAGGCCAATGGGTAAGGTAAGCGGTAGTACGATTAGATCAAGTATTAGTATTTGGTCATGTGCGGCTTGAAAATCCCCCCTTGTGTTCTCGTGGTCGGACGGGTGGGGGGGGGAATTGATTGCGCCCGTCCCACGTCAGTTTCCTGTTTGACTCTTTATGTGTAACATTCTGGGTACCGTTAGCGCGTGGCCATCACATACCTTGTGCGCCACGAAGTGTACGATGTGATGGTCTTTGATTTTGTTCCCTTTCCTTTTCTTCGCTGCAGCAAACCGACTGAGAAGTTGGAAGGTTTGAAGCGTTGTTGCGTTTGCTTTTTGTTACCACCTCCATGTCAGGGTCGGTCATTTTGTACCGCCGCAATCCAGCGCTCGGTGTTGTAATTCAGCCCGTGGTATTCGTATGTGTTGCCGTGCACGCCGCCGGTGTTTCTTGTTCCTGAGACATTTTTTAGTTAGGGACAATGGTTGATATCTTGTATCATGTTAAGGAGGCCCCCCGCCTCGAGTCTTGTGCGTAGGCAGGCGGATGTGGCCAGACGTGATGAATGTTCATTGATGACTCGACAACATGCCCCATGGAAGTGGTTCAAAGCAAGAGGTTGCCGTTGGAATAAATTCTTGGCGCCGCCCCCGCCGCCCCCCCCCCGGGGGGGGGGGGGGGGGGGGTTGTCGCTTTTTTTTCTTTCGAAAACTTTATACCGACGTGCGATTTTCCACCGTACAACATAAAAATCGGTTTGCTCTACCGAGTATTTCAAGAAGTGCCCAAGCGTAGCGTATCATTACTAAGGTGGTACCCATCGATCGGCGCGTTCCTCTCTACGCTTTGTGTCGTAGTTTACAAAAAAGCGACCCTCGGCGGCGGTTATGTATTTCGGGACTGGGAGGGGGAGGGGGAGGGTCTAGGGGGGAGGGCAGTTGATGGTCTGTGCGCTGTGTTTTGTAACGTATTTTCACACTTAGGGTTCTGTTTTCGGGTATCTCGGGGGCAGTGGATGCTTTAAAAACCCGCAGCGCAGCGGCGACGGAGAGAGGCGGGAGGGGGGACATCGAGACAGGGGTCACAGTGAGGAAATTGACAAGTCAGCATGGTGCTCTTACGGGTAGCTCTTTAGCTGTCTGTTGTTGCGTCGAGCGGCCGCGGCGTTGCAGTGTTCGCACCTGCTCGCATGCCAATAATTGGGGGGTTTTATTTACCACAGCAGTAGCACGCTATTCTTTCTTTTTCAAGGTCCGTCCGTTCCCGGGGTGAGTGTGAAGGACATGGTGGGACACGGCCGAAGAGATGATGCGATCCCACCTCTATCTCGGAGGAAGAGCCTTCTCGAGAGAAGGGAGGTTGCTGGTCCCCGCCGCTGTTAACCCACTCCGAAAAGGATCGGCTCCCGCTCCGGGCATGGAATTAACCTAATCAGAACCTTGCCCGCGATATACTTAGTCCGCAGTAACATGGGAGACTAAACAAGACTTGAAATTAAACCCGTCCATCGCGGTGGTTGGGAAATCATGTTGTGCGCTTGCACTCCCCGCGTTTGTTGCTCAAAACATCTGTCCGACTCGAAGGGAGCAAGCAAGACGACTACTGTACTCTAGTATAATGTGCGTACACTGCTGTACTTTCACTCGCCCACGGGAGAACAGTTGCCTATTTCTTCCACCAGACGGGAAAAAGAACGGGTTGATTTTCGTCAAAGGCCGGTTCTTAGCGCAGGGAACACACACAAATAGTCTACTTGACTTCTAGAGATCAATGATACAAGCGCCATAAACACAACCCCGCCAGCCAGTGGTTTACTGGTCGATCACACTAGGAAACATAAATACTTGCACAGAACAAGTACCAAACTGCTGTACCTGAGACTCCCCCGAGTCCGACACAAGTGAAAACACCGTGTAGGCCGAAGCATCTCTCATTGGTTCATCAGGTGCACAAGCTCCTCTCTCCAAAGGCATATGCACGTCTATCCTACAGTAGTCTGAAGAAGCTGGCGAAAAAACATTAATTGTAAGAGAGAACTCAAGGACGTCAAACACAGTTTCAGGACCGCTTGGTATTGTAACAGCGATCAACCAAACAGCACCCAGTCAAAACAACACCGCGGGAAGTACACTAAAGCAATACAACAAATCGCCCTGCCGCTCGCAGGAAGGCTGTTGACAACTACTATAACGTCCGAAGTACGATTCTTCGGGGAGATGGCTGTTGTCACGGAATACACCGCATGGTGTCCGTCTTGCGCCAGCCTATCCATCACGGTAGGCACAACGCCGCGAAGGCATTGCTCTTATTTTCTCACCAAAATACCAAGTATGTCGGGCTGGACTGCAGAATCCCGTGAACCTGACGGGAGTTCCCCTGTTCCGCCACACACGGCGGACCCACCCTGCAGCACAGCACAGCAACCACACAGCAAGAAATAGCGCACCAATCCCATTTCTGGGCTTTCTCCTGCCAAGAGCACTGAACACAGCAGTCTAAAACACTCCAGCAACAGCGCGAAACGATGATGGAAAGGCAACACCACCTGATCTATACCAGCAAGCATCGACATTTACAGTCAGCAAATTACGCAGAAGGGTTCCAGTAACAAGCGGGAGGAAACCGTTGTCTAACCCAGTGCGCGCTGCTGCGCGTGCGGCACAAACACGTATGCGTACCCGCAGTCTCTTTTGCACCTCAAAAGTCACGCGAGCGAACAGCCTATTGGACACGCTGGTATCATGTTCTACTTCACGCAAGTGTCAAAAGAGCCAAATGTCTTCATCATGTCGTGCCAACGACAATCCCACTCGAGCAGTTTAAGCCCGTAGCAACACTCATCGCCCCGCCCGAAAAATGAGGACCCTGGAGGGTTTTCCGTGACCGTGAAATCATTCTTCAGTGCGGAAAATACCCAACATGAGACGGTCGTGCGTGCCTGCGGCCATCCATCTACTAGACACCCATGATGCGCCTCTAGATAGTCAGCGTAGGGTGCTGCTCGCAGCCTGCGGCAACAAAGGCGGGATCGATACGGTCGGCATTGGCGCCGGGGGGAAGCAAGCGGCGCTCGAGCTCCTCGATCCTAGCTTGCTGGCGCCGAAGCAGTGCTTCAAACGCTCCCCGGCTACCACCGTCGACCGTGTTAGCGCCCCCCCCCTGTTCACGATGAGATGATGGCGGGACCCCCTCTTCTGCACCCTGGTCGGCGGTATTCCGTCGGGTGGTCTCGGATTCAGAGTCACCCTTGATGATGAGGTCGATCATCGTCATCTGGGCGGTCTGGATCATCTTTACCAGCCTGCTGGAGAAGGTGGAGTCGCCTGTTCGGAGAGAGAGAGAGAGAGAGAGAGGAGAGAGAGAGAAAGAGAGGGAGGGAGGGAGGGAGAGAGATGGAATTGGTCGTGGGCAGCCACGAAACCCGAGCGAATTTAATCGAACTCTGTGAATGGGGGGTTGTGGATGGACGCGTTTGGTTTGGTTTGCTTTTGTTCACCATTTAGCCCCCAAGTACAAAGGGATGGTCATCCGACTTCGCCAGCCAACAGAGGAGTTGGACAACTTTGGACAAAGGTACGAACAACACGCAAGACATGATGTCGAAACGCCCATGAAACCAAACCGCACGGCTACAACGAAAGGTTGATATATTTTCCGCTCGTCAGTCAGTCATCCCCAGAACGCAGTGTGTCACAGACGACGATGGATCCGGACTCGTTCATACCAATCGTGGCCAGTCATGGAAAAGAAAGCAAAAGCAGCAACGCCCCGCTCCGCACCTGCCAACGCCCAAAACGAGGGGACTCGCATCTCTCCCGCCACGCTACCGCCAGGGTGCGTGGGTGTATGTGTAGCTGTAGCTGGCCATGCGAACGCAATCCAATCGCTTGCAGAGTCGAGGATCCTGCAAAACTCAAACAAGCCAACCTGCCACGTACAAAAAGAAGAAAAAAAAAACGTCCGCCGCAACAAGGAAAAGAAAGGCGCGTCGCGAGCTCGGTCGTCAATATTTAGCATCGGAAAATGCCCGGGGTTTCAGCAAAAGTGTTCGGAACACAAGAGATGTCGGATTGTCTGGATTTCCGTCCACTCGAGCACAAGAGATCTTGTGTGCAACAAGAATACCGTATATGACACAAGATAACACACCTCCTGGACCGATTTTCAAAGCTCGATTACTCCATGACGAAGGGGATGCATGAACGAAACGATAAATTTTCGACCAGCTCTCGACGAGACGGTTTCAACGCCGCCGTTTTCGGCGCGATGACTGTTCCTGCAGTTGAGAAATTGAGCTTCGAAAATTGGTCAAGGGGGTGTGTTATCTTGTGTGCAACAAGAATACCATGATTTGACGAACGCCGCTGCTGGTGTTTTTAAGTTCTACAGTACAGCAGACGTCCCCACCGTACTGTGAGGACACTCAGGGTTTTTCTTTGAAAAATGTGTCCTTCTAGGGGCAAGTGTCCAAAAAGGATATATACTGTTTTTACGTTTTTACGTTCTGCCGGGGGCCACATATCTGAAAAAGAAGGCTGTCATTTAAGCGGCAGGGAAGTGTCCTTAAACGGGGACGACTCCTGTTACGCAGCGATAACCGGATCTCCACGTTCTCCGGCGTGTGCATGTTTTTCTTTGCGATCCTTGCTGTTGCGATGGTAAAAACAACTCACGTATCTCTCGATGCCCGCCGCCAGCGCTCGACTCGCTAGGTTACTCCCCGAGGACACGAAGCTTCCGACGACCATGGCCACGACCGCGTGGAGGTAGGACAAGGAAGGGTCGTCCGATAACCTTCTCCCGTCCGCACTTGTGGCGGCGGCAGCTGAAGCAGCACCAGCGTTGTGGCCCTCTTCGATTTGCTCTGCATTCCCTGGCGGTATGTCCCTTCGCGCCTGACAAACAAGCGTCTCGGATTCAGGATTTTTCAAGTGTGAAGTGACAGGCGCGATCCACGGCGGGGATGGGGGGGTGCATGCCGCACTCGTTAGACCATTGACTTCCCACACCTCCAAAGCCGAAACGGAGCACGCCGGGTTTTCACCGGACCAGGGGAGGGGGCCATCCGAACATTCTCTTTCAAAGGGGTTGGATTCAAAGTCAAGCGAGACTTCGCCACCCCGGCTCTTCCTCCCTGGCGGCTCGATAGTGTTTTGTGCTCTGAACGAAGGGCCAAGAGTCGAGAGCCACACAGCACCGGCTTGACATTTTGAGAACACCCTCCAACGCTCCGACCAAACAAAATCTACACATCAAAACGTTTCAAGATAAACATGTTTCAAAATATACCCGAAGGACCCAAAACTCCGTAATCCCTTCCGCAGAATACCCATACACGCTGGTGCCCGACATCCCTCCAAAAAATTATCTCGGCTTTTGGGAACGAGACAGCCGCCACCAGCGGCAAGACAGCATCAATCTGGCTGCAAAGCCTCGTGGAAGGCTGCGTGGCCAGCTGAGCCACCCTCAAGCGCGACAAAAAGAAGACACCCGGCGACGCCCAACACACTTCTTGAAACAGCCGGCAAAAAGCCGGACGATGCGCGGAGGAAGTGATCGATCGCAGCCGCCACCGGCAGAGCTGCACACGCTTGAGTGCATGTCCCGCACTCACCAAATCAGGCCGGAAGGCCCTGCCGAAAGTCCGCAACAACATCCAGCTCGAGCCGCTCGCCAGCAGCCTTCGGGACAGCGCGGGTCCCACCCCTTCCGCGGGAGAAAGGGAGAGCCAGGTCAACACCAACTCGCCCAGCGAGACGAGGTAGTGCGTGAGATCCGAAGGCGGGGATAGACGCTCGTCTCCCTCTGCCTCCAAGACACCGGTCTGTTCGGTAGGGGACGGAGAGGTGGGGGGGCATCGTTGATGGCAGAGGCGAGCAGTTGCACGAAATGTAGGTTGGTTTTTCCCCGCATGTTTGCGGCTCTACAGTCGCACGCTCTGCTGCAAGACAATCGGCGGTGGCATACAGTTCATACTTTTCGACCCAGGGACACCCCCAAGGCATGTGTCCTCCGACCTGTCGTGTGACAGCGCACTTGTACCCGTCCGCCAGCAGCCTCATCGCCACCTCCAGGGCCGGCGTCAGCGGAGGCCCGCACCGTACCCTTCTGCCCGACCCCCCGTCCCCGCTCCCGTCCGACGCCCCCCCCCCCCCCCCCCCCCCCCCCCCCCCCCCCCCCCCCCCCCCCCC